TCAAACATGTCCCGCGAAAGTGAGGGCGAAAGTCCCGCGAAAGGAAAGCAATAATCCAGAAACAGGAATATTGATCAACGCTCATATACATACATATATATATATATAGAGTATATATATATATGTACGTATAGACCATTGACTGCTGAGTTTCTGGGAAACTGAGGCTGGCGACGAGTTGAGGGGTGGCTGCAGGAGGCCGACAGCACGGGGTTTAAGGTGACCAGTCTTTTCCGTGATGGAATGTTGATAGTATGTAGGTATCCCAGAACACGTGTGCATTGTAGCCTGTGGAACAGAAATCGCTCGCCTGCATCAGTCAAGTAGACCTACCATGTCGTCGCACAGTCTCAGGTGTTACTTCCGTCTTGTATCACGTTGCATGCTGACATTCACTTCTCTGCGAAGCCTTCCTAGCTGCATTCACGGCCAAAGAACAGTTTCACAGAATGCCTGCACGGGCTTGCAACTTGATGCCACAGCCTCTCCCGTCTGCTCCCCTCTGCAGGCGCACACAGACACAATTGAAACATAGCCTATCCTTTTTCTTTGCAGGTTTTGTAGGAATGTGCAGGTCTCTCTCTCCCTCAGCTAGCTCTGAGATGTCAGGCGCTCTCCAAAGCCACCATGAAAGCCTCGGACTACACAGACGAGATGTCGGATTGGCTTGACCAGGACGACACGAAAGCTGTGCTCCCGAAGCAAAGAAATCAGGGTTCGGGGTAGAAGGGTTTCTGTGGCCGGTTGGGATATCGTTTTGGGGATTAACGTTCGACCATAGAGTTGGCAATGAACAACACATGATACTGTAGTAGCAATGACAACAAGCATTGCATCATCAACGAGAACCATAGAAATGTTGGCGCAGGACCAGCGGCGGCTAGCAGAAGCTGTTTGCTCTGTGCTTGTCGGTGAAGCTGCCGTGGTCGCTACTGCGCTGGAGGCTGTGGCTTTGCCCGCAGGGAGGTTCGGCATGTGAGAGCTGCCACCAAGGGTTTCGTGTTTACAGCGCGATTTCAGAGAACTCGCGGTTCGGTTCGGCTAGATTCGCGGGACCTGCGCGGTTCGCTTCGTGTGCCGTTTGGCGGTTCGCTGTTTGCAGTTCTTCAGGGCCTTTTCAGTACTTCAGGTTTTCCAGGGTAGGGAACCAGGAGTACCTACAATTCGGAATGGGGCTCTTGGCCTCTCCACGAAGTCCGGCTCTGGGGATGGGCTGTGGTGCGGGGGGTGGGATTGAGGCTTGGAAGGGGATGTGCTCCAAATCCTTGCCCATATTTCCTGAAGCCTTCTGGCAACACCCCGAGAGCCCACACGTGAGCCTTTCCTCTGACTTGCAGCCAAGGTCGAGAAACGTCTCCAGCGCATTCAGCGCCAGAAGGGGAAGGCCTGAGTCGATCGGAGTTCCGGGTCCACAACACGCGAGGCTTCTACTTTTGGAGCTTATATATACGGTTCAGGGTTTGGGGTTCGGGGTTAAGGGTGCTGATTGATGACGATAAAGGTAGTTGCGAGGATGAGCTTCTGTCCGTACTGGAGTTTTGGCACAAAGGTCAGAAATCTGTTTGACACTTGTAAGCTCTGGTTTGTAAGGTTTGTTTGCCTTCTTTTCGTACGGGGCCAAAGGATTCGCCTGGAAGTCTGGAGAGATAGATGACGTCACCGAATCACGCTTGGAAGCCGCACAGCTTCCCAAGGCAACAAACACTCTATCAGCAGCCCTGACGAAGCAGCAACCCGTGGAGAAGGTCGAGCAGCCGCTCAAACTGTTCTGCCAAAGCTAGGACTACAACGCAGCTTCCGTTGTTAAGTGGGGCAAGAATCCTTCCATCCAAAAAATCCCCGGCACACGGTTTCAAGGTTCTCGAGGATGCATTGAGCAGTTGTATGTCTCTCAAGTTGTGGCCTCTGCAGTTTGTTTCCAAAGGTTTCAATCCGTATGAGTGCATGAGTGGTTGCAAGTTTTCGCGTTGACAGAAGCACGTGACACACTGAATGCAGCGCACGCACTGCGTACCCAGAACCTGCGCGGTCTAGAATCGTGGCAAGCAGGCTTGCCAGGCCCTGCACCACCTGCACATCTACAAGACACCCACCCATTAATTAAGCGCCGTAGACCGAAGTCCGTGAACTTTATGTCCTTATGACCCCGTGAATTCATCAGACCGAAGCCTCAGCCTCTCAGCTCTTCGTTGCCCATTGCAAGAGCTTCAGAGAGCTCTTCTGAAACCCTGAAACCCTTAAACCCTAAACCCCTACACCCTAAACCCTTCAACCCCTAAACCCCAAAACCCAAAACCCTAAGGCCCTAATCGCAAAATCCTTCAACCGAAGCCCCTAAGCAGCTGCCCTGCAGAGACGTCTTGCAAAGCCGCGAGGCCCCGAGTGCCGAAGCCTGGCGGCGGCGCCAGGAGCGACGGCGCGAGGCATCGGCTCTTTGGGGCTTTTGGGGGTTTAGGGGTTTGGGATTTAAAGGTTTAGGGTTTAGGGGTTGGGGGATTTTAAGGTTTGGGGCCAAGGTTTAGGGGTTTGGGGGTTTAGGGGTTTGGGGAGCTAAAGGCTTAGGGGTTTAGGGTTTAGGGGGTTTGGGGATCTAAAGGTTTGGGGGTTTGAGGGATTTGGGGATTTAAAGTTTTGGGGTTTAGGGGTTAGGGGATTTAAAGGTTTGGGGTCTAGGGATTTGGGTTTTAGTTTTTGGAGCTTACAAGGTCTAGGAGGCTTATGGTTTTGGAGTTCGAAGTTCCTGCTGTCTGCTATCGTGCATCATCCGGCTGGACACTAGCTGCCCAGACCCGGAGGAGGACCTAAGGTAGATCCCCTAACTTGGGACCCTATCATACCAAAGGGCACTTTAATTATAATTATTCATTTAGAGTTCATTTGTGTATTTGTTTTTTATTTTTTATTTATGCATTTATTTCTTTATCTACGTATTTATTTATTCTTTATTTATTTATTTATTTACTTGAATTTATGTTACATATATAGGAGCTCTCTCAGCGGATCTACTTTTAGGATCCTCTCCCGGGTCTGGCTAGGAAGCGGGAACCCCGCGTGCTCCAGGCATGGTCCGTCGAAGTCCGACGAGTGGACCCATTCGACGAAGCGGATGATGAAAAACAACGTGCCGTGGGATCTGCGTAATGTAGAAGCCTGAATAATTATCAGTATTCTGTTGGGGGGTTCCTTATTATACTTCTACTATAAAGGAGCCAGAAACCTATTCTAATTATGTTGGCCCCTATATTACTTGTCATTGCGTTGCTCCAAGATTCGATTTAATCAGTTCCGCAGGCTTGAAGGGTCGGATTCAGGATATTCTCGTAGTCCTTCGATACTGCCTTCAGCTATAGATAGAGAAAATTCCGGCAGCCGTGACATTGGTGTGCCGAACTGATCCGGTGTTTTGTCCCTCAGCAGATGTCGGATTCGTGAGCAGTGGCCTCACTGAGTCTGCACATGTCAACCTACGGCAGTCCTCCGGCAGACCACAGCACCTTCAATGCAGAGACAGATCTTGCCCTTACGAGTAGCACTCCGAGGCTTGCTTGAAACGACGTCCTTGAGCAAGAGGCAGCGGAGGAGGTTTCTGAAAATCCTTATTCCTAGCCGCTCCTTCTGATTTTTGATCCTGGTTCTGGTACTCCCAAACCTGCAGGTTGGCCAGTGAGACTGCAGACTTGGCATAAAGTGACATGTCATAGGGCAAGGTCTGCCTCTTCCTGGGAAGGCCTCATCATGGTTTGCTGGTGCTGTGGGCCTGCATCGCAGGCGCAGGCCGGGCCTTCATAGGTCAGTGCTTCGGTGTGCGCAAGCCGGGTTTGACAAGAGAACAGCATCGCGTGCTTCATGCAGTCACGCTTCAAAAGGCAGAGCGCATTGGGCCAGTGGAGAAGTCCCCGACGGTCTCAAAGCCAGGCACGCTGAATTTGTTTGGTCCGTCAGTGACGCCCTCACAGCTCCCGACTCATCCATGATTCCTTTCTCGAAGCACCACCAGCCATCGTTTGTGGCAGCAGCTCCTTCAAGCCAAACCCGCATACATTTGGCTCAGATTCCTGCCGATCCACGCAGCAGAGCTAGTATGCTTCTTCAGAATCCCTCTTACCAGCCAAGAAAAAGACATCCCAAGCTTTCGTCATGCCAGGCCGCTCTAAGGAAGCCCCCAGGACATCGGGGGCCGATGCGGTGGCGACCTTGGGCGCGAGTTCGGGTACGGGGAGCCCTTGGTAGAGCGTTGCAATGGAGCTTTAAGGGTCAAACTTTTTCGTAACCATGTTCTGCTGTGGAGGTCCTGGAGCTTGAGTCATCCATCTTTGATGTGGAGATGTTAGCTTAGCGCTTTCAGAAACATGGTCTGTGTGATTCAGCAATGCTCGCAACAAAATTACAAACATGCATAGTACTACACAGGATTGTTTGCTGAGGGATATCATCTCATTATTTATAGGCTTCAGAGGAGGCCAGGTGTGTATAATGCTGCAAACGAATGCGACGAGCCTCCTCACAGACATGTCTCTACAACCTTCCCGGATGCGGCTGTTGTTTTATGCTTCAAGGTCATCTGGCCGACAGCCAGGCAGTTCGTAGTCGTTTAGCGAGCACGAAGACCTTCATACTTGACCGCGTGGGACTCTTGGTTTGTCGTTTGTATCGTTACGCTTCATCCAGTCTCGTCTGAGCTATATCCTACAATAAGCCTTCTAGATTCGATTCTCCGTGCCGCGGCGTCACCCCAGAGCGCTGCTGCGCCTGCGAAAAGTGGCCCGTCTTGCAATGTTCTTGAAACAGATTGAGTTCTGTGAGGTCTCGGTCTCAAATTCAGAACTTGATTTTGCAGCTGCCGGGCGCACGTGTACGGCGCAGACTGGCTACAGGCAATCAGCAGCTCTGGAATTTGTCATGTGCGGCACCCTCCTGCCGAGAAGGTGTCATGGTGATCATCTCTTTGGGCGAGGACCTCCCGAAGGATGCCCAAAGGCCGACAAGCAACTCGAAGCATTTTGCCGTTGTCTCGTTGTTGACTCTGTCATGCTTGGCCACTGATCTATCCTTCAGAGTCTCCCAGACCAGGACTTAGTCACAAGCAGGCAACGAATTACTCGATGCAGTGGGAGACCAAGGCGCAATGTCGTAAATGTTCGGTTGATGGGCACTGACGTGGTCCACACGAGAATAATGTTCGAAACCTGAGCATCCACGTCACGTAATGAACTGCTGCTTACACTGTAATTTTTAACCCGGAGATCAAAACTCTAAACTTTAAGCCCCCGAACGACACGCAATCTGCCCAAGGCAAAGCCAAGGCTCCAGTGGTGCAGCCGGAGGCACTGTTCTTACTTCGGGCACCGATGACCATGACAGACCCAAAGCCCCCCAAGGCAGACACCCGAGGCCCTAACATCGGGGCCTTATTAATGATAACCTGCAGTCTTTCGGGAGGGTCCTTACTATGAAAATTGTGTACTGGGTTGGGCCCCAAAACCCCTTTCTAACTATAAAGGCCCCCTATATTATAGCTTTCGACCCAGGCCATTAAAGCAATCCCCTGCACTGTAAACTCAAGTCCAGACTGCCAGCATCTGCAGCCCAAAATCCAAACCTCCCAACCTTGACCCTGAAGCCCCAACATTGGTCCCACATCCACTCCCTCCAAACCTTCATCCCCGAACCCAAAGCCCCAACAGGGAGGCATGGAGAGCCAGCAAATCCAATCGTCCGCTCCAGGAGCCAAAAAGAGTCTCGAAGGCCTCACAAGGCCCCAAGGTGGGCCATGTGCACTCCGGCTGGGCTCGTCTTTAAGGGATTTGCGCTGTTCGGCCTCGGTTTGCCAAGTGTCAATGCGTTGGATGGGGCTTCCGTAGTCTTGTCTTGAACATCGTTTGTTCCACTCGGTTGTAGTTCAGGCCGCTGAGAAAGCTGCCGAAAGCGAGTCGCGGCCCGGCAAAGCAGAGAGCAAGGCAGAGACGCAGACGAGCGCCTCCAAAAGAGCGGGCTCCGTCAAGAAGGTGCTGCTTTCGGGGGCCTTAGCTTTTTCTATTTTCGGATATTGGGGTATACTACAAGTTCTAGTAGGGAAGATAAGGGCAGACTCTTATGTGTCTGGTTTCAGACGATCGTGCAGTGGTGTCTCGAGCCCCGACTGCTCCCACAGTACGCGCCAGCCCGGGCCAGCTCCATGAATGACCTCGCTCCTTCCTGCGCTCTCTCCCGCACTCTGGTCCAAGCCAAGTCTGTAAAGCCCCAACTCCCCCGACCCTTTGCCTGAGCAGGCGAAGGCTAAGGAGCCCAGGGAAGCAAAGGAGACGCCTTCCTCGAAGCAGGAGCCCAAGCCCGGTTCAAAGGGAAGCCAAGGCTCCAAGAAGAAGGCGGACTCGAAAGAGGGCTTTGTGGCTTTAGAGGGCTTTCTGGTTCAGGGTCGTTGCCTGTATGCCGGGGTTTGGGGCAGAGAAGCTATTATGAGGGTTTTTGGAAGAATCGTTGATGCGCTCTCAGCTCGGACGAAGGAGTGAGGTATAGGCAAAGGTTATCGGGACTGTCCACCTCTGAACTGGCGCAGGCGGACAAGGAAAACAAGGAAGTTCTGCACCGTGCTGCAAGATGGGGTGGAGAAGGATTGGCTGAGGAATTCAGGCGCTGGCTAGTCGTTCCCGGCATTTTCTGTCTGTGTTTGTTTACAAACTCTTGAAAGTATGATGCTTGCACATGAGGGTTTGGGGGCCTTCAGCTGTTTCGAAAGAAGACCCTTCGTTCTTGCGCAGAGGGTTTTGAATTCCCATCCTTTCATGTGTCATGGGGGCAATGGTGCTTCGGAGCCTCGAATGAGAAAGCTTCTGTGAAGCACCCCCAAGCCGAAGAGACCCAGGAGTGTCGTTCACCAAGGCAGCTGGGAAAACTTGACGACTTGCAGCTGGAGGTGCGCCAAACACGTGGCGAACCTGTCGACAGCACCTGGCCTGACATGGCATCGACGGCACTGCTGTTGGGACATGCTGCGTTAGAAGTTCCAGATCCACTAACTGAAGCTGTGAACTCTCAAGTGTGGAAGGTGAGTTGAGTCGCACCTTCAGACGCGACAACGAATGCTTCATGATGGAGTTATGGCTACTTACACCTGTTGGTTCAGCGGATCCATCCATCGTGACTTAAGGGGTGTCTCAGGGTTGCATGTTTCTCCGAAAGGGGCGTGTAGAGAAGGATCTCGGAATGTTGCAGCCATCAGGTACCAAGCAGATGCGTGCTGCTCTCTTCGAGCTCACTACAGCCTTTCAAGCTGGAAACAAAGCAGCTGCTTTCCAGGCCTTGAGGGTAGATAGCTCATCGGAATGCACTGAAACTTCGTAACAGCAGGATGTCCTGTCCCCATAGTCGAAGTTTAGGTAGAATGAGTTTAAGTAGTTTAAGTAATTAATTACACCTCGTACCATTCTGAGTGAGGAAGGTGTGGTCAGTGTGGCCACTGTGGTGTATTTATTCCGTACTCCATGCTCTTCTGGAGGCCATGGGGCAGCTGGCGCAGAATCCGCAAGGAGATTTGGCCGCAATTCTACTATGAAATGTACACGCGGCAAACCAAGAGCTACCAGGCATACAGAGTTTGCAGACGCTGCCTGGCATCGATGCTGCCACGGCCCGATACCTCGAGCAGGCTCTAGGCGGGCCCGAGATGGCTCAGTGAAACTACAATGAATCGGAGTATCTCGAGATCTTCCGGCCATGTTGGGTTGATCAGCTGTGCTGAACTTCTAGTAGTCCCAGTAGTCGTGGAGACGCGCAGGTGTAATGGCGTCAGCGGCGCCTGGCTCGCTGCAGAGCCTCGTCCGATTGGCTTGAGAATGGCGGCTGTGCCAAGTTCTGAAATGCAGACATCGCTGCCTTGAGGCCGCTGTAGAAAGGCAAGGGAAGGCACTGCAGCGGATGGATCTAGGGCACATGGGGTTTGGATGTTCTGGGCCCAGGTCGGGGTTGGACGCCCTGCCAGCCATGATGGACTACGATGACCCTCTGCGACATTCATTGAGCAGCGGACTTTACCTGTTCTTAGGTATTGAATGTTGGATTCGGGAGTTTCGGGAGAGGTGGCCAAATCATATCGTTGAAGCTGCTTCACAGCG